TATCCGGAATCGTTTTATGATATTGCTATGTGAAAAACACGTTTATTCTTTGAAATAATAAACGTTTTCGATTATGCATATCAATCACCAAGGTCAGGCAGTTTTAATTTTTCTCCATTTTGCCATGTATCTGAAAACCGGTAGCAAATAATTAAAAATTTACGTGACGTTTAAGAGCAGATGCATAATATTTTTTATTACTTTATTGACGCTTCGAGTGATAAAAAATGGCAAGTCGGCTCGGTGATCGATTTACACAGTTGAAAACATGTCTTATTTTTATTATCATTTTTTTTTAAATTTAGTAATGTCATAAAACAGTTCTCACTATCTCTTTATGTATGACCATTTTCCCTGGTTGTATTTTTGGATGAGCAGTCATTTAACCTTTCATTTGTCTGTGATATTGTCTAGCTCTTTTATCCTGTCATTTTTTCCTCTTGACGACTGACCGATTTGTCATTCATTCATCCACAACATTTGCAAATGAAATCTTTCCGTTTCAAGGAAGGTTTTTCCCGCCTTCGTTGATCTCTTCCTCCCAAGAAAATCATTTCCACAGTTTTCCTCACAGCCAGCAGAATTGTAATTAAGTTGTCAGCATCCCAGACATTTTTCTGTTTTTCATCGACATTTCTATCCAAGATTTTTCACCCTTCACGTTAGCCTGTTGTCTTTCCAACATTTTAGTCGCAGCGATTTTAATCTCATATTAGCAACACACTAAAACAGCCTTACTTGTTTAAATAAAAATAACCGCATTCAGAACAAACGTGTGTTCTGTTAAACATCTTATCATCCTACACGTTTTTATTTTGGACTTTTCTTCTATGCTACTATTATTTGCGAAGACAAGTAGCGTCCAAAAAACAACTTACTTGCCATGAAACACCCCTCGTATGTTGAATGCGAAACCTCCTCGACGGTACACCCTCATAATAGCTTGCAATAAGGTAGGTCTCTTGGACACAACAGACACTCACACCGAGGCGTTGTAGATCGCGAGAAAGACGAGCCCTTTTAAACACAGACCTTAACCCTCGGCCAGTCAAACTTGAGGGAGATGATCGATGCTTAATGGCGTCGCCCAACCGGGACGAACGTGCATGGGGTCAGGATGCCGACGGCTTGTCCCATGGAATCATGGCCTATTTCATTTTTAATGATGGCTTCCTGAGATAGCCTATCGGTGTCTCTGGGAAAAGTTAATTAATTTGACTGCTTTATACAGAATGGGTACCCTCCCAGAACAAAACTTTTTCAATTTTGCCAGAATCTCACTTTCCATCAAAACCACTGGATTTGCTAATTCTATGACTGAATTAGGCTCCACCAGAATTGACCAGATTCGCCGTGTGCCCTGACCTACTCGAACAACCGTTAAAAGCCTTTGAGCGTACTGAAATTTGGTGGGAGGGGTCTACGATCTTCTCCATATTTAATGTTCCGGAGAATGCTTAGATCTTACAAGCGTTGCTGCTGAAAATTAATTTTTTTTTGTCATGACTTTCTGCTGCGATTACGAGGATCTTGAATCATCTCCATTGCAGTTATTCCTTCTCCGAGTCCTGGGGGAAAATTATTTCCCACCTCCCAACATCTCTCTCACAGGCAGGATATGACGAATCTCTCACGGCTCTGTCGCTACTTCCATGCAAAGTGCTCGGACGGTCTACATTCTTTGCTTCCAGTAGGTCTAACCTTCACGACTAGGACTGTCATGCCACTTACATAGTCGCAAAACACCCACATTCCCTCCGTATTCCACCGTCGAGAAGTTCCACTCTTCCAGCGAACCACTGCTCTGTGGAAACAACTCCCAAGAGGATGTTTTCCTGATCACGACAATCTTAAGCTTTAGAATTAACAGTTATCTTCTCTTTCTATCCATATAAACTACCCCTTAACATAATCCTCTACCTCGAGTGGCCCCGAGCCTTGTACAGGGTAAACCTTACAGAAAAAAAATTACCATCATTAACACCGCTAGACGATTTATTCCAGCTTCTTCATCTTTACTGGTTTTATCGTACGACTGGTCAACACATCTTCAGAAATACAAACTCTTATCAAACAGAAATGAAAAAGTATTATCTTTTGTCAACACTGTTTCGAATTAATTTTTGAATTAGATGAATCATTGTCAGTCATGCTTAAATTCTGATTAATATCTCTTCAACATTAAAAGGAATTTGAAATTTTTTTTCATCTTTTTAAATTCCAAATACGATAATGAAGAATATTCGTTACTTAAAACAAAACGTTAGGAAGGAAACGTCCATCGATACTAGAAAGAACGATAACATCTAATGGACATAAGAAATTTAATTTCCTGAACAAATGTTTTAAGAGAAGGATTTTATAGTGATTTCCAATCGTAGCGTAAGGCCGAAAGTGTGAGGCACCCAGTGAGGATCGAACTCAATAATCAGTCGCAATTAGTCTAGCAAGACAAATTTGCTAACCATTATAGTTATTTTCTAAGCGTAGCTTAGATGTGGCACAAGGCCGAAAGTATGGGCACCTAGTGAGGATCGAACTCACTTTTTAGTTGTAATTGATCTCGCGAGACAAGCTTGCTAACCATTATACCACCTCGAGGTGCCTATGAGAAAGACTTTAAAATTTTCAACCGAATGCCGAATACTCCCGACAATGAATGCCGAATTCTTCCGACAATTAATGCCGAATGCTTCCGACAATGAATGCCGAATGCTTCCGACAATGAATGCCGAATGTTTCCGACAATGAATGCCGAATTTCAGCCAATTGAGGTTCTTAATCTATGGCCATTAATAAACAAGTAGAAATATTATCTTGAACTTGTTAATCACGTCAAGCGTTATCAATCAAGATTAATTTTTGACTAGTATTTCTTTTTTATTTTTATTGCTTTTCAAACAGTTCAACTATTCAAATCGTCATTATACGGCCATTCTTAAACAAAGGGTAATATAATTCTGAATTTTTATTACCAGATAAAATGTTGTCAGCCATTATTAATTGTGAACAGCATTTATCTTTAATTACTTTTATTTAATTTAATAGACGCGTTGCTGAGTCGTGAGAATCTTTGCGTTCTAATCATTCCGGGTTCAAATCTCACCATGGTCGCTTCGTGAACGATGTGGCCTTGATAAAATCAGCCTGAGAAGCTAAATTCACCTTGTAGCACTGTTGGAAAGTGGCTAAAAACTATATAGCACAGGCTGACCCAAGACATGTAAGTTAAATTGGGTAGATGGAACTGCAGACAGATTGGTTAGCACGAAGCCGCGACTCATCGTGATCGAGGGAATGAGTGTACTGGCCTTTTTACGCCAGACTGAACGCTGTATCCCAGAAACTGTAACTAAGATATTTGAAATTATTTACATTATTCGGACTATTGTCCTCATCGTTATCGCCATATTTATCACAACGTTTCGGCCGTTGTACGCTCCGGCCTTCTTCAGGTGGTTGGAATTTCGAACTGGACCCTTTATTTCGCTCACTGGGGTAGACTGTTCTAGTTCAAGGACACATGGCATAGTGGATAAAGCCGTTAGTTAGTGAGTTCAATACCCTGTTAAGGCAGTGGAGAACTTTCAGATGGATAATTAACAAGAGATAACTGATAACTGACATCCATTAAAAACGTGGAACTAGAACAGTCTACCTAAATCCTAATAATATGCTCTTATTTATTTTACGAGCTTACAACAGTTCTGTTCAATTGCCATCTACTTTGGGTGGCTCTTGGAGTTTGTATTGGGCGAACAACAGTATTTTTTAATCATTTCCCCTAAATCCACTAAGACGCAAGGGGGTATTAAATAATATAAGAAAAATATAATATTAAGAATTAATAAAACAATTACGAAAAGAGAAGATAACGATTGACATTGCATTTACATTTTTGAAGATTAAAATTGAAGCAAGAAGTTCCACAAGCGAAAAATGCGCGAGAAGAAACTGTTAGCATAGAACTTACGGTTAGAGCTAGCCATTTCAACTTTAAAATGATGAGACCTTACCGCCAATCTAGTACTTAAATTCATAATATCTAAGTACGATAGCGGAAAGGTCATCAGAACAATTACCATGAAAGTATTTATAGAAAAAGCACAGTGAAGCTACGTTACGACGACAGGAAAATAACTGAAAGTCTAATAACATTGCAGATACATTCTTTGTATGAAAAGACATGTGTGTAATAGAGTTATCAATATATTAGTTATGTGTCATGCGTAATATACGCTTAGGTGATCATGCATCTTTCAATACATGACTGACGAAGCAGATTTTTTGCCCGCATTAGGTTGTCATCTCTTTCTGCGTAGACCAGTTCCCATCGAAGGTTATAGAACCCAGTCTGTTCTGCTATTTTCCCATAGCTGGGAGAAGAAGAAGAGGATTTATACCTTTCCCAAGGGTATTAGCACGTAAGTGAAGGCAATGGATTCGACTGGAATTCGAACTCGGCTCTCCGATTCCTCAATCCGAGGAATCCATTATTCCACCGTGCCTCCGCCATGTCACATAGCTGACTGAATATATTAGAGTTTCTGGAAAGCTGCTGCACGAGGATTATGACGCCTGATGAAGACCAGAAAACAGTCGGATAAAACCAGAATGTATGAAGAGCCTTAATAAAAAAAATAATCGTCTATTGGGGGATTATCTTAAAATTTTATTCAATTGGTATCTTTGTTATTCTTCTCAAATTAGGTTTCTTTGTCATTTCATTCATTTCATCAATATTTATTTAACTTTGCATCACAACTTTTTTTGCATTATCATCGTCCATTGTCATTTCTACTTGTAACAATCATCATCATCATCTCGGTTCCTTTAATCATCATCATGATTTTCACTCATCACAATTAGAGTCACCTGTTATACAAACTGCCCTATGGGTAACAGAAAATTGCAAAGGGGTTCTTAGAAATGGTCTCACTCTCATACTACTTCTTTCTTTCTCCCTATTCCCCCTGTCTCTCACACGCACACATTTATGCCTACATACGCAATTGCACACACGCGCACATACAAGGAGAGAGGAGGTAACGTAAGAAACTGTAGAAAAGAGGGAGAAACATATGAGAAGAAGGAGGAGGAGAAAAGTATGAAGGAAAAGGAAATAACGTATCAAAATAGGAGGGGAAACTGGGAAAAGAAAGAAAAGAGAAGGGAGTGGAAATGAGAGTAAAAGGAAGGAAGGAAGGAAGGAAAGAAGGAAGGAAGGAAGGAATATATAGAGAGGAGGAAAGGGAGGAAGAAAGGGATAGAAAATGTAGAAAAGATGTAAGAAAATTAATGGTGGGGGGAGAAGAAATTAAGAATGCGGGGAAGAAAGTAAAGAAGAAATGAAAAAGGAGGAAAAGAGGGAAAGAGAAAAATGAAAAGAGAAGACAAGACGGAGAATGAAAAAATAGCGAAAGAATAGTCAGAAATGGTGGGAAAAATGGAGGAAAAAGAAAGATGGTGAAATACAGAAAGAACCGAGGAAAATGGGACAAAAAACAAGCTGAATTAAAATCGATGATAGAGGTTATTTTTTAGCGCACCCACATCGCTGCGGCATGTGACACAAGGTCAAGTTTTAAAAACGATTTAATGGTAATAGCGTGCAAAAATTGCCCAAACCCACTCGGCACTAACCCTTTAGGTGACGCCTCAGGCGTCTAGCGATAAACATATGCCCCTCCTGAAGGAGAGGTAATGCCTGAGGGGAAGGACCCCTGGGGCTTTTGTTTTAAAAATTATTATTAAAATTATTTGAACGTCCGCGAATCAAAAGGTGGATAACGATTAATGATTTTCTTAGCGTTGCTTAGATGCGGCACAAGGCCGAAAGTGTGAGGCTCCCGGTGAGGATTGAAGTCACTACTCAGTCGTAATTGGTCCAGCGAGCCATTATATCACGTCGAGGGGCCCTTAAAATCGATGAGAGGGAGCTAAAAAAAAAGCGTGAAAGAATTAACTGTCATGAAGCTTGTATTGACCCAAGTGTATGAATACAAATTAGGTGTCGTGCGAAGTTGATAACTTTCGATAATATAACGAATTTGGTTCTTGAGCGGGATCTAAATTTATTTCTACTTATTTTGTAAAATTGCTAAAAGCGTTTGCTTATGGCTATCAAGAAAAGCAGACCTATTTTGGGAATGATGATAGAATAATCTAGAATTTATATTGAATGCAGTCCACCTGAATACGGAAAATGAATTTAGCAAATACACAAATATAGAAAGAAGTATAAGACAAACATTTGTTTTCACACAGGATTTATTGAAGCCCTAAAGCGAAGCTACCCTAACAGAGCTGGAGACCCTGCTCAATCATACAATATAAGACTCACAGGTGAGACTGTGTTGATAGCAGACACAGAAGGACAATCATAGGAACTGCTAGACAAGGTAGTAAAGGAAAACAAAAAGAAAGGACTATCAGCTGTGAGACACGGAATCTGTGGATATTAGCAAGCGGAAACGCTCAAGATGCTAACGACAAATTGGTGATGACAATATCAAAAAAAGCACAGAAGATAGTGTTTTAACAGAGGATAAAAAAAATCCGACACCGAAATCTGGACGCGCATTAGGATGACAAAAGAAGCCTTCTAAAAGCTAAGCAAAGAACTAAGAAACAAGAAAATTGAATTATGTAATATCAATCCAACTATATTGCAATGGATGCTGGGCAATTTCTTCACCCCTGAAGAGAAGACTACAAAAAACAGAAATATGGTTCTACAGAAGGATCATGAGAATAACATGGACGGGGAGTATAAGCGACGATAAAATTTTAAATAAAACAGAAGCAAAAAGGACACTGACACTTAAAATCAGAAAGTGACAGTTGAAATTCGTGTTCGTGTCGTTGTTGGAGAAGAACTATTTTCCACTCTCTAACCTGTCACCCACAAGCGGAGTGTGGCAAGCCTCTTACTGCTCTATCGCTAAATCCATGGAAAGTGCTCGGACGAAATACATTCCTTGGTTCCACCAGGTCTAACTTTCGTGGCTATGACCCGCTATGCCAGTTACGTTGTAGCTAATCATCCACATTCCATCCGTATTCTATTGGTGAGAAGTCAGTTTCACACCAACAGCTTCTTCCTGAGAACCACTGCCCCATGAAACCGACTCTCAAGACGATGTTTCCCCGATCACAACAATCTTAAGCCTTTTTAAGTTTAGGGTTAATCGTTAGCTTCCTCTCGTATCCGTACAAACTGCGTCCTAACTTAACCCTCTACTCCGAGTGGCTCCAGGGTCTTGTACAGAATGAACATTACTGTAAAAAAAGAAAAGAGTCAATCATTTTATATGGAACTGATCGCTAGACAAAATTCTCAAAGACGAAGAAAAGTGGTAGAGATGAGGTTCTACAGATGAATGCTAAGAATGACATGGACTGAACATACGAGCAGTAAGGAAGTTTTTTTAGGAAAAGGGAAACTATTAGGGTCAGTTTAAAGAAAAGGAGAAAGGAAAGTAGGAAGGACGGGAGGAAGGAAGGGAGGAAGTGTGAAGAGGGGGAAATAAATGAGAAAAGGAAGGAGGGAGAAGAAGGAGTGCAGAAGGCAATCAGTGAAGGAAGGAAGGAAGGAAGGAAGGAAGGAATTGTGAATATGAGGAAGGAAATTAGAAAAGTCTGGAGGGAGTGCGGGGAGGACGAGAAGAAAAGAAGGAAAACAGAGTAGGAAAGAAGGGAGTGAGGAAAGAAGGGAGAAAGTGTGAATTGGAGGAAGTAAATGAGAAAAGGGAGGGAGGGGGAGTAAAGGGAGGGAGGGGGGAGAATGTGGAGGGAGGACAGAAAGAAATCAGTGTAGGAAGGAAGGATAGAATGAAGGAAGGAATTGTTAATATAAAGCAACAAATGAGAAAAGAAGGTGGGAGTGGAGGGAAGACAAGAAGGAAAGAAGGAAATCAGTGTAGGAAGGAAGGAAGGAAGGAAGGAAGGAAGGGAGGAAGGAAGGAAGGGAGAAAGGAAGGAAAGACGGAAGGAAGGGAAGGGGGAAATAAGGGAGGAAATGTGAACAGGGTGAAATAATCGAGAAGGGGGGGGGTGAGAGAAGACAGAAGGAAATCAGTGTAGGAAGAAAGGAAAGAAGGTAAGAAAGAAGGGTGCATATGAGGAATGAAATGCGAAAAAGAGGGAGGGAGTGGAGGGACGACGAGAATGAAAGAAAGAAATCAGAGAATGAAGGAAGGAAGGAAGGAAGAGAAGAGAAGAGAAGACATGAAGAATAAATGAAGGAAGGAGGGATAGGAGGGATGGAGAAAGGCGGTGAAGAAAGGAGAAAGGTTATAAGAAAGGAACGAACGGGTTGTGGGAGTAAGAAAAGGGATGAAACATATGAAAAAGAAAGGAACGGATGAAGAGAGTAATAGAAGGGAGAAACAAGTGAGACAAAGGAGGAATGGGGAGGAAAAGGAGAAGGAAAGAAAAGGTGAAGAGAGGAAGAATATAAAAAAGAAAAAAAAGAGAAATGAAAAGGAGGGGGAAAGAAAGGGAGACGGAATAAAGCGAAGTATAAAAAAAACATAAATAAAAATAAGAGTAAGCCACAAAAAGGTAAATGAAAATTTGGAATGAGTGAAAAAAAAGGTTGGAAGGAAGAGTGAATGAATGAAAAAGAAAGAATTAAAAAAGAGAAAAGAAAAAGAAAAACTCTGATTTATCATTAAAATCACATGCGGTCATTTCATCGCTCGAACGCCCTTTTAAAATTCTTACAGTGATTGTTTGTTGTTTTTTTTCAGGATTATGCGGAACCAAACATTGCGTGCCGGTAGGCACCAAACCAGACAGTATGTGTGACCATTTACACTGACCAAACTCCTAACTCTATTCTATTAGATCGTTAGAGGCTGCTGCTGCTGCTGCCGCCGCCGCCGCCGCCGACGTTACAGCAACCGCCACCGCCACTGCGAGGCTGCCCTTTAGAAAATCTCTTCGACTGTAATAGAACAGAAATTCCTGGCTACTCCCACTGCTTTTTAAGACACAACCAACTGCTATATTCCCCAGTTCTGATAAGAGAAAGTTTCATCTCGTAGTTAAGTAACAGAAGCAATATTCAAAGAAAAGTTCAAAATCTTTTTTTGTTCTTGGTTTTTAAATTAAGGTTCGAAAATTAAATTTAATGTCGGCAGTAGGTATTTCATCTTTAATTTTCAAATTTTTGGTGGCTCTTCGCCGCCGGGTCATTTTTTCAGATCCTTACTGGGTATTCCAGATTTGTGACCTTCAATATGGCTAAGCTAAGCTTACTATATATTTACAGTGCTCCGTCATCATGTAATGCTTGCCAGTAAGTCCAGTCCAGAATTACTAATAGATAATGGATTGCAGCCTTGTGCCAACCTAGACAAAGCATTAGCTTTGTAACAAAATGAGCTTAGTAAATGAATGCATGAGTCTTCTGATTGTGTCCGCTAGATCTTATATGACAAGTCCTTTAAGGACGCGGGCGAATATGACTCTCAATCACTTCCTATCTTTTATGTACCAAGTCCTTTCATAGCGTGATGATCCTTGCTCTCCATAAATTTCTACGGTATATGTGCCACGTTTTTTTCAGAACGTGCTAATCATGGCTTTCCACAGCTTCCCTTCTTTTATGTGCCAAGTCATTTCAGAACGTGGGCGATCATGATTGTCCACAACTTCCTATTTTTTGTTACTCCTTTCTATTAGGTTGGTGCAAAAATAATGCCGTAATAATGTCGTTTTTTGGCGTATTTTTTAACGTCAAAAAACGGCATTATTACGTCATTATTTTTGCACCAACCTAATACAAGATTTAAGTTCAGAAATCAGTCAAGCTATGTAATAAAAATGGATCAGAGATCAGTCAAGCTATGTCATAAAAATGGATCAGTTATGCGGGGGGGTAAATTGATATATTATTCAAGGGAAATCAATATCCGATAGCTAGGAGTTCATATGCTAGGGGTTGTGGTGAAAACGTCGTGAAAATTCTCGGCAAGTGCCTCCTTGGTCATGTGGACCATATATGAGGGGAGCACAGACTGCTGAAACCCTCTGGGAGATTACCGATTCATCATATTTAAAAAAAAACGGTTCTTTCTAAGAGAGTAAGATAGCTGATGAACCAAAACACTTTTGTAAAAAAAGTGGGGGGTATAGATGAAGCGATAGAAGTGGAGTATACACTTAATCAACCACAAGTTTTACCGAATGAAACAAAATATTAAGAAAAGGGCTTTAATATCCTTTAAAAGAAACCCCTTAAAATAAACAAATGGAACCAAGGCAGACCCCAGTTTTGTTTTCTACTATGAATTTATGTTGGCGCCACGCAGGGAAGTATTAGTGAATGCAGATGCATGCTTTTCTATGTGCGGAACAGTCGTGAAGCATGTCACCGACTCTTGAGCAGTGGCTATTTACTACCCAGACCACCCGACCTCGAGCACTACCCTTGTGACCGTCCACCCTGACCTCTCAGCCCGTTCGCCCACCAATCCACCTAGCTGGCCTGGAAATCTCCTTTGCACTGTTGAGAAAGTGGGGAAATGGCACTGTCTGTGTGTGTGTCTCTGCGTGATTGACGTTTGGTTTGTTGTCTTTTTAACTTGGCTTACAGATAATTTTTTTTTTCTTGTTTATAACTTTGAGAAGAATCATCGTCATTCCAAGAGTCGTTTGGACAATGGAATCCGTTCTTTGATGCCCTTTACTACAAATAACGCGAGATGTATTTGCTCAACATGATAAGAAAAAGAGAGAGAAAGAGTTGGAGATTATAGTGTGCAAATTAACTACAATTTCTATTAGTTATTTTTCCCTTTAAACCTATCACAGCCAGGTCATTTTGGAGTTATTTAAAAGCAAGGTGCGTACTTTTTGGTCAGCCATAGAACTCCAAGTAATGGCTTAAATTGTTCAATATTTTACAGAATTATTCTTTTATCAATTATCTTTAATTTTTAAAGTTTCATTTTGTTGTTTTATCTGCTTAAAACAACAGCAAAACACCTGAGACCTAGAAAAGTAAATTCATCAAATTTTAAAAGTTATAAATTTATTTATTTATAAAGTTTATTTACATGGCTATATTGATTATATATCTGTTGCGGAGATGAACACACCTCTACAAAAGAGGACTTGTATTCCTTGACATTATGAGAATCGTGATTTGGATGATGCGACAGGAGTTTTATGGAGGTGAGAAGTTTTTCTCTTCTCGGCTGATTTTCTTTTTTAAGTACCAGCTTAAAGTCAAAATTAGAACGGAAAGAATGCGACTCCCTTCATCAAAATTTGGCGAAAGGTAGTTGAATGTTTCGCGTTTGGTTTTCCTTCAGAAGGGCTAATTTAGAGTGGCATCTGTAGATGACCTAGGATTGAGGATACTTGTCACCTGATTTAAGCATTTGTCATCCAATATGAATTCTAAGGAACTATCCTGTTATCCAAATTTATGATCATAATTCGCACGCTTCAGTTGCATGTCTTCGCGTTGGAAGCCTTTCATTTGTTTTGATGCCTTCATTACCAGTACAGACATTTTTTCATTAGAAAGAGATAATTTTTTGTAGATATACATATTTTTATACTTGAAAAACTTTTTAAATATATCTTGAAGAAGGCAGACATTCAACTGAAATATTAGTTTAACATTGTAAAACTTTTTTTTCTCTTCCTAAATCGACTCTCTTAAATGTTGAAAACTATTGAAAGTTACGTCAATCATTTTGTTGATTATTATTATTAGTAGTAGTAGTAGTAGCAGTAGTAATAGTAGTAGTAGTAGTATCTCTTCTTCTCGTTTTTTTTTCTTTTTTTTCAATCGGATATCTTGCATTATAGGTATTCTTCATCAAGTCGTACGACCTCAAACAGATAGCACTTATCGCAGAATATTTAAAGAGCCAGACAACGCAAACATTTGAAGCGATGGCTGTATTCCGATTTTCTCAATGTAGATCTTTAGGTTAGGTTGTGTTGACTTCGACGCCCCAATGATAATTAGGACAATAGTTGACTGAACGTCCCACTATCTGGTATCCTTAAGCCGGTATCAAGGTGTATTTTTTAAGCTTTACGTTTCCTCTGACTTTGATATTATGATCACTAGGACCAGAAATATCGACGAGGAGGCATTTTCTTTTCTTCCATTTCTTTTTCAACAAAGGTGATATCTGGTTGGGTGGCTACAAGGATGCAGTCTGTTTGGATGTTAAAATCATATAAAATCTTGACTTGGTCGTTTTCGATAAGCTTCTATATCTTATGGCTGCACCATTTCTGTTCTACTTCCAATCATGTTAGGTATTCCCAAGGCATCCTACGAAACAGAATGATTTCACAGAAATAAACCCGTGTGCGCCAATCACAAAAGAAGAAACTTTAACTGCTGCTTGATATTTTTTCTATAATTAAACTTCCCAGGTCTTCGTACCTCCCGATTTTTACAGTTTTTTTAGACCAAGATATCGCAATGACTATCAGGACCAATTCATGATAGATCTTGTGCCGAAGTGTCATATCAGAGCGATGACTCTTGAAGCGCTTGTCAGTAAAGATGATCGCATACCACATGAACTTCAATTACTCATTCTCGGCTAGAGACAGTGATTAATGCTCGTACCACTTCAATGTGCACTCGGGTCATACTTTCTGTATAGTCCCCAGTGTATTCTAGGGACTACCTTCTCATGATATCATCTGTGCTCTTTTTTTGTGCCAGCTGACTACAGCTGCTGATAATTTCTTACACATTTTCAGTAGCCTTAATCCAAAGCCCGCATGAGGGTAAATCAATTCTTTTGTCAATAGAGTATTTGGTGACATTTATTCCCAACGCTTTACGCTCTACATTGATTTCTTTCTTAAAGAACCCGTTTCTAAGGCAGCCTCATAATTCGCGACTTGCCAACATTCACTGCCATATAGGAAGACTGATATTACGTAACAGTTCAATACACATTTCTTTGTTTCTGTTGTTTCAAGTCTCTTCTTCATCTGTGAGGAGATTGTTCAACATTCACTGTCATATGGGAAGACTGATATTACATAAACAATTCAGTACTCTTTTCTTTGTTTCTGTTGTTTCATGTCTCTTCTTCATCTGTGAGATTACCCAGCATTCACTGCCATATAGGAAGACTGATGTTATGTAACAGTTCAGTACTATTTTCTTTGTTTCTAAATAATATTTAATATTTTAAACACTTCAAAACTAAATTCTTGAAAGAGGCTAAGTTTAAAATATTAAACAATATTGTTTAATCTTTTAAAGTGATAATCTTTAATAAATCTTAATCGCAAAGTTGACATCTTAAGACAGCTTACTCTACCGGTTATTTTTTTACTGTAATTTTCAACAAATATCCTCTTCTTTATGGTATAATTATCATTAATATTGTTGTTGCAACATTTTAATAATCTGACTACTTATTCTGTGTAATTCATTAGAGTGTCACAAGAAACTTCTCACAATTTGATCAAAGATCGAACCAATATTGGAATTGGTTGAGCAGGGTAAGTAGAGAAACAACTCAAGGTGAACTTGGG